AATAATTTACAATGCAATTTCCTTCTTGGCAAAATACAATTTTATGCATAGATATCGTTTCATAATATGAATGTTTTAGAAAATATGTCATAATTATAATAACCGTATGAATAAGTGTATTTCATACCATTAGGAGTAAATATCTGACTAGACATGACATAATATGGAAACATTGCAACCACACTCTGCCATGTGTACACTTCTTGTAACCATTTTTCCAGCTGTTTAAAATATTCGGATCGCTCTTCCATACTACAAACATCCGTATTTAATCGATTCCCATTATCATTACCGCTTACTTCTTGAACATCAAGATTCTCTTTGTCCGACATTTTCCTATATATATACCAAATAATAATTTTTATTTATTCGTTTACATAAATTGGCTAATTTAAAAAATATATAGAATAATAAGTTTTATCGTAACATAACAATAGTTTATAAAATAAAAAGATCAACGTAATCGCACACAATGAAAAAAAAGATATACAAGCATAATTGATGACGTTTCATATTTCCTATGAAAAATATGTTTCTTTGTTATCTTTAATGAAATAATATGACATAATGATAACCCAAGTACTCTGAGAACATAATTTACCAGGAAAAACATTAATTATTTAAGGTTAAGCTGTACGTCGCAAATTAAAAAATGTATCCAATCCCTAAGGTTAAAGCAACAAACATAAATTGTTGAATAATATGTACTACTCAATTACTTACCAAATTGTTTCTGTTCATTAGTGTGTCACCTAACAAACCCACTTTATGCTGGGCTCACTTATTTCCACCTAATATATAAATAATGATGTCTTAGATTTCGATTAAATTACATACAAGGCAATTATTATTCAACCAATACACAAAGTATGAGCTTTTTCTGATAACGACGCAACCTACGCAAAAAATACAAAAATAAACCAATGCATACACACGACTTCTTCAGACGGTTTCCATTTGTGCTACTTACTCGACCGTTATTGTACTCTGATTGAATAAGGACCATCAATGACACTTGAAACGTATTAAATTTGAAGGGATCACGTTCTCACTACAAAATAAGACTCTAATCAAAGGGAAATCATGTTATTGCATATTCGAAAACCCCTGTCATACTACTCTTTTTGCCAACCAACTTAGGAAGGTAATACGCAATTGGCTGTTCCTCATTACGTGAAATTTACACTACGATTTAGGTTACTTGAGATTTCTGCTTCAGATTACGTGTTGGGTACTAATTGTTGTCTGGTCGGTTATATTCGAATATTAGCTAACAAAGTCTCGTTCGATTCTGTAACAATAGAAGGGTATCAGGTTGGAATCAGCCGATACTATTTAAGCTATTAATGAACTAGATTATGCATAAACTTGTTCCTAAATATGTATGTACACTGAACTCCGCCGATGATTTCCTCCTATCCGCTCTGCCCTCTTCGGCCGCGCAGCGTACTAGCGGCGGGAGCAGCGCGGAATTTGAATAGCCTGAGGGGCAGAATGGATTTCCTAAAGAAAATAAATATTTATAAATAAAAACCGTGAGCAATCTCCCAACTCATCTCTGCTATTTATTGGGCATCAAGCGTCAACACGGGAACTGGGATTCTATGGAGACTTCTGAATTCTTTGACCGCTTTTCTCCTCCGAATGCATCCATTCTTTGCTCAAGTTGAATTATGACGTCATGGGATTGTGGCGCAAAATTTAAAATGTCAATCAGGTTTATTGTGATCTACAAATTATCTTCAAATTCATCCGCTTTTCATGTATTTATATAAATAACGCGTTCTATTTACTGAAGTTAATGATACTTTGTATTTTATACTCTAAAACGTCGATCCTTTACATACATTGCTAAGCTTTCTTCCAGACTTCATCCACAAAATAATTTCTTTCAGGTTGAATCTGTCTTAAAATAAAATAAAAATTTCTTTAACAAATTAGGATACTATAGTAATAACACCGAGGTACCCTTCATTAAACGTGTGTGCGCGCTTGCTTGCATGTGTATGTGTGTAGACAGTTTTATTCATATTGTATGAATGTATTACACAAATTTTCAATTTCATATCTAACTTTGTGTGTCAATTGTGTACTTTATATTACATTGTTTATGCATAGTTCACATCTTTGCAGTATGTACAAATTAGCGATTAAGTCTGTTATTATTTCTATATGGATCTTCTACAACAATTGACTTGCAGACTAAATCATAAGCGGTTCTTTTAAATCTAAAAAAGAAATGGACAAAGCATATTGGGAAGAGGAATGCCAAGATCAGATTCTTTATCACAGAACGAGCAACAGCTAGTGGTAAACCCAGATCTGTTCCAGGAGATACGAGAACCAAATTGGCGTCATCGGGTCTTTCTATGAGGGTGATACTGCCACATCGAACCACCCGTAGACCCATTATCGTTTTTCCTGGAGTGGCCCCTCCTATTTGGCCATTTGATCCATGTTGCAGCCAAAATGCCTGGAAACAGATGGAATTAAAAATAGCCTTATGCAATAATTACACAAATTACATCAATAGTCTAAGTACGTACTTCAAAAATACACACGAATATTTTATACATTAACTCCAGCAAGAATAGTTCAGATGTCACCTCTAAAGCCATTTTATAATCGATTTGTAGATTCGCTTGTATCAAATCAAAATTATAGGGTTTTGTACCACTAAAAAGAAATGTACAAATATGACAAATTGCTTTGATTTTTGCATGTACGAAAAATGTATATTCTGAAGCACCGTGTAAGGTTCCAGTAAATTAGCTTACGCAAAGTCAAACATATTGACAGCGATAAAAGAGATAGAAAGCTTGACTATGAATAGTATCCCTGAATCAATAAACTCCGCTGCAAATCGCTTCCAAACTGGCGGAATACGATATTCAAAACCTGCAAATCAAATCGATATGAAAATTCATATATGAATAGATAATTATGGTTAAATGACAATGATAAAGATGGATCTTCCAAAAGTACTGCATTATCATTTACTTGTTCTTATTTGGTTGGATAGGATTTACTGCAAAGTACTTTACTCGGCATTAAATGCAGCACTTTTGTCATTAAATCACATGTAGTACAGGCTGAACCTCTGTTGGAAAGTGATGAAGACAGGAGTTATCGTTATGACCTTCTACCTTCTGCACCAGGAGGTTGAAATAGTCCAGTAGACTCCTGAGGCCTTGTTTCTCTTAAGGGTTCGTTCACATGTCGATGGATCACATTACTGTTATTTTGTTGAACATTAGGTATTGTAAAACCGATATTTGTTGGCAATTGAGTTGAAGATGAGGTAACATCTAAAATTATTTGTTCATTCGTAACTATTCCTTCCAAAGGAACGATTCTTTAAAATACTAAAATGAATCTTTAAGTTATCTAATTTAATATCTCATATAACAAATGAATAAAATAATTTACAATGCAATTTCCTTCTTGGCAAAATACAATTTTATGCATAGATATCGTTTCATAATATGAATGTTTTAGAAAATATGTCATAATTATAATAACCGTATGAATAAGTGTATTTCATACCATTAGGAGTAAATATCTGACTAGACATGACATAATATGGAAACATTGCAACCACACTCTGCCATGTGTACACTTCTTGTAACCATTTTTCCAGCTGTTTAAAATATTCGGATCGCTCTTCCATACTACAAACATCCGTATTTAATCGATTCCCATTATCATTACCGCTTACTTCTTGAACATCAAGATTCTCTTTGTCCGACATTTTCCTATATATATACCAAATAATAATTTTTATTTATTCGTTTACATAAATTGGCTAATTTAAAAAATATATAGAATAATAAGTTTTATCGTAACATAACAATAGTTTATAAAATAAAAAGATCAACGTAATCGCACACAATGAAAAAAAAGATATACAAGCATAATTGATGACGTTTCATATTTCCTATGAAAAATATGTTTCTTTGTTATCTTTAATGAAATAATATGACATAATGATAACCCAAGTACTCTGAGAACATAATTTACCAGGAAAAACATTAATTATTTAAGGTTAAGCTGTACGTCGCAAATTAAAAAATGTATCCAATCCCTAAGGTTAAAGCAACAAACATAAATTGTTGAATAATATGTACTACTCAATTACTTACCAAATTGTTTCTGTTCATTAGTGTGTCACCTAACAAACCCACTTTATGCTGGGCTCACTTATTTCCACCTAATATATAAATAATGATGTCTTAGATTTCGATTAAATTACATACAAGGCAATTATTATTCAACCAATACACAAAGTATGAGCTTTTTCTGATAACGACGCAACCTACGCAAAAAATACAAAAATAAACCAATGCATACACACGACTTCTTCAGACGGTTTCCATTTGTGCTACTTACTCGACCGTTATTGTACTCTGATTGAATAAGGACCATCAATGACACTTGAAACGTATTAAATTTGAAGGGATCACGTTCTCACTACAAAATAAGACTCTAATCAAAGGGAAATCATGTTATTGCATATTCGAAAACCCCTGTCATACTACTCTTTTTGCCAACCAACTTAGGAAGGTAATACGCAATTGGCTGTTCCTCATTACGTGAAATTTACACTACGATTTAGGTTACTTGAGATTTCTGCTTCAGATTACGTGTTGGGTACTAATTGTTGTCTGGTCGGTTATATTCGAATATTAGCTAACAAAGTCTCGTTCGATTCTGTAACAATAGAAGGGTATCAGGTTGGAATCAGCCGATACTATTTAAGCTATTAATGAACTAGATTATGCATAAACTTGTTCCTAAATATGTATGTACACTGAACTCCGCCGATGATTTCCTCCTATCCGCTCTGCCCTCTTCGGCCGCGCAGCGTACTAGCGGCGGGAGCAGCGCGGAATTTGAATAGCCTGAGGGGCAGAATGGATTTCCTAAAGAAAATAAATATTTATAAATAAAAACACTTAATGAAAATTATTTAAGTATTATCGTGGAGCGTCCCTGACCCACCAAACATAGTTATTCTTAAATGATAATTTACAGAATTTTTTAAATAATATAATAAAACATGTTTTATTAAATGTTAACAAGTTTTTTAGCCATTCAATTATTCCATTCACTGAACCGAAGTTAGAATATTATCTTAGCTTAAAAAAAATAGTTTCTAAATAAATATACAGTGAAATAGCGTAGGAAAATTTACGATGCATCAACTATCGGACATAGAAACGAAATCGTTATTTCATGTCTCTTATATATTTACGTTCTACACCATTCTTCGTATTCCTCGAATAAATGGACACCTGTAAATCATTAAATGAGCATGTAAATGAGCACCCGTAAACATAAGAAAGACTTTTCTTATCCGAGTTTTTTATAAACGCAAATCAGAGTAACTCTTCTAAATTGATTTCATTCGAAATAGGTATCCAAAACGTAAAACCCCATTTCCATTTCGTATTTGAAATAAGAGAATAAACTATGATGGATTTTCAATTTTCAATAGATTTTGAATCTATTTGCGTTTGAAATTAAATACTTCCAGAGAAATGAGAATATTATAAAAGAGTCGATCAGAATGATACTTGTTCTATCAACTGAATCAACTCTCGAAAAAGTTAAACAACACGCGTAACTCGAAATAGCCACGTTGGCAAAAACAGATGAAATTAAATTGTTTACTTGCATTTTAAATACAAATACAAGTCATAAAATTACCTGTCCGAAAAAGGCATGGACAACGGAGGGTTAACATTACGACTAGATGGCACAGTTAATTCGTGACAACATTTCTCGTGGAGGAAGTGATCCTCCACTCCCTCTGTTAATTACTTGATCACGGTCGCTGCAAAATAACAATCCGCCTTGCGAGCCACGGAAGGAAGGGGCGATAAGGCCCGAGGGTGAATGTTCGCGCCGAATTAACAAGGGCTCAACATAGAATTAATTCTTTCATCGCAAAAAGGAATGATCATGCAACGTGTAGTCCGAAACTAGACTTCGGGTCCTGTCGCGCCGTCTAGGCGCGCCAACCACCACTTCAAGGGTTGACAACGGCGTCGACCCCCTGGAGGTACGGTCGTCGTCGCGACTCAAGTCCTTTGAGCTCCGTTCTTAACGCATCTCTCTTCATCTGCACGTGTCTCCTTCAACCCATCTGGGAAACATCGGTCGAAAGTTCCCAAGAAAACCCATGTACCTCTCGATCACGTCCGCAATTAGGACAATTTATGTCTTCCATTCTTTTACTCTTCTTCTAGTGCTTCTCCAAAATCCTTGAACGACACCCGCATGTGCAGTCCCCACTTGCGCTTCTGGAACTGCCAAAAACTTCTCCTTCTTCATTTCTTCTTGACCAATTGGCTGCATACAAAAATGCAATTCGTTGACTTCCTTAACCTATCCAGGACTTTCTTCCAAACTCCAACTCTAAAAACTCTCTCCGGGACCCTCTTGTTTCTTAACTTTGGTCCCAAACAGCAGATTCGATTGAACAGCCGAGCGGCCATCAGCGTTCCGGCATTACCACGCCTTTCGGTCTCCCGCGCGACTTTACGCGTCCGTGGTATCAAGCGAGATAAAATTCATCTCCCGCGAGAACAACTAGTCTCCGGTTTTACGCGCTCCATCTCTTGCACAATTTCTAAGTCCACTCGCGCTAGTAGCCCGCTCAATTAAGCTCGATACTCGTTACCCGGCATAACTAATCATTCAATCAGTCATTTCGCTCTGTCTATTTATTGTTAAACCCGATGGAATTGTTAATTATTATAAGTGTTAAATAAACGTTAAGTCCTGTTGCGCACTTCGCACCTGGCACCGCTCTTCCTCTCTCGTGTTCGCAAGTAGCTCGAACAGTGAACGACGGCAAGCGAGAACACCATCGGGAGGCATGAGAGCAACGGAGAACGCCGCTCCAGATGAGACGAGACCGCAGCCCGGGGTAGAGAGAGAGAGAGAGTCTTCCTTGCCGGCGGGTAAACATTGATGCTAATCCGATTATCGAGAGCCGATACCGAGATCGTCACAACAGGGAGTGGAAGGCCCGAGACAGGAGTTTTAACCCTTTGCGGTCGTATGTCTACTCTCAGCCACCAAAATTCTCTTGATCTTGGGAAAATGCGACCGCAAAGGGTTAAGAGTGGTAGAGAAAGCCCGGTGCTTATGCGACCCGTAGGAGTAAGAGAGAACGCCACGTCCAGGACCCTCGAGCCTCGAGCCGGCGGCCGAGCCTAGCGGGCCCCGACGAAGGGAAACTTATTTTAGGTCTTCTCCTTCCCTTTTCCCTCCATGTGTCACGTTTGTCAGAAAATTCATATAACGAAATATTGGCCGTTTAAATTTATTTTGGGCTGTAACGGGACTGTTCGACCGTCGTGAAACATGCTACAACTTGTTTGCGTATAATATCATATTGCAAGACTGTCAATTCCTTCCGAAATATAACATTTATTTTTCTAATTGTATTTCCTACATTTACTGTGCTTATTCAGTTAAAATTTTTTACAAAATTTCTCTTTAAATCATTTTGCTTTAATGTCAATGTCTTCAATTTGTTTTATTTAAAGCCACGGAACTCTGAAATTTCATGATCTTTCAGTTTCCACATGGTTTATGAATTTGCGTGTCTTAATAAAGCAGGGACGATAAAGGGTTAAAGTTACGAGTAGACGGCATAGTTTATTCGAGACGACAGTTTTCGCTATGGAATCGATCCTCCTTTCCCTCTGTCAATTATTTGATCGCGGTCGTCGCAAAATGGCAATCCACCTTGCGAGCCATGGAAGGAAGGAGCGACGAGGCCGGCGAGTGAACGAGTCTAAGCGAGAACGCCGTCGGGAGACATAAGACCCGCGAGAGAGCAAGGGAGAACGCCGTTGGGAGACATAAGACCCGCGAGAGAGCAAGGGAGAACGACGTTCCAGAAGGAACGAGGCCGTAGCCCGGGGCAGACAGAGAATCTTCTTCGCCGGCGCGAAAACATTGACAATAATCCGCTTATCGGGGAACCGACATTGATACCCTCGCAGCAGGGGTGGAAGGCCCAAGACCGGAGTTTTGAGGGTGGTAATGGAAGCATGAGGCCATTGCGACCCGTAGGAGCCAACGAGAACGCCACGCCCCTCGAGCCCCTAGTCGGCAGCCGAGCCGTGCCGGCCGCGCCAACGCGAAAGCGTTATCTGATCAGGACTCGAAGCCCGGACGCATAAGTCTGTCTCTGTTCTATGAGACGGATAGCGCATGAAATAAGCTATCTCACTCGGACACACGGCCTCCAGGGCAGATATAGAGAGACACAAGTATGCAGTCCCCTTACCGCACCGGCCCTACGTACTCGTGCTACCGCCGAAACTGAGTGTCGACGGACTCGAACGCTTTTCGAATGACTCACCCCCCTCCACCCCTCTCCAATCCCCAGTTGGTACCCACAGTTGGTAATGGCCTGTATTGTAATCGGCCATTCAAAAGCGGGTGAAGACGTGAAAACCCCGGAAGGGGTATAATCGTTTTATTACCTTGCGATGGTAGGACCTTTTCCTTGTTTACCCTGTCGACGAACACGGCGAGGACAGCGCCGTTTGGCGAAAAAGGAATAAATTTTATAAATATTAACAGCTGCAATACCGTTACACGGGGCCAATCTGTACGATTTTGACACGTTTATGTTAGTAACATTTATTTATTTCTTTTAACAAGTTGGCTTCAATTTTAGATAACTGATAAACATCCTTGAATGCCATTAAGAAGCAATTTATAGTGTGAACCGTTGTTTTGATGTAATTTTTTCTGTAGATGCCCCATTAAACTCCAAGTTGGGGGTCAATAAGAACAAAAAATTAGAAATATTTGGTCCACACTCAAGAAACAAGTTTTTTTTCCCCAATAGAAAATACAATCTGCTATTAGGAACTCCATGTGCAACCTTCATCAAACATATGTTTTCTCGTATTTTTTAGTAACTCACGCTGAAAAAAAAAGGAGAGTAAATTCATCTAATTTTCTGAGTTATATGTCGCGAACTCAATAAACCCAGTTGCCTCAATTTAGACTTGGAGCTATCAATTCTCACTCAGTCAAGTTTAGAGCTGATTCAACTACAAAATGTGATTTTGCGCTAAATGTAAGTTGAACCAGTATAACAGTAGCGGTTCTGGACACAGATTCCTGTATCGAAATGTTGCCGACACCTCGATAGCCCTCGATGGTTGTTGTCCACGCTAACCGCCCGTCGTTAGCGTGAGATGACGTCATCCGACCCCTCGTCGAGCCTCGATGTCCGAAAATTTGCCAGGAATTCTGGGAATTAGACCGAAATACCGCGAATTTCCCCCACGCTTGAGGTAGTTCACCCCGGCGTCCACAGATGGCGCCACCGGATGAGGGTACGTATTCGTGCTAAATTGTTTACGCGCGCGCGAACCCAGCAAAACGCCTCGAGTAAAGTTTTCGTAACCCCCCTGCCCCCTCACCCCCGGAAAGAGTCTGGAACGTTTTGCAACATTCTAGAACGTTCGACCGCGCGCTCGAACGTCGACCAACGTCGGACGGGCCCCGGGGGTTATGCAACTGAGACCCCGAATTCCAAGATCGGAGATCCATCCTTGATCATCTTCCGGCTTGGACGATATCCCCCTCGCCCCGAAAGGGTCTGGAACGTTCTTGAATGTTATAGAACGTTCGACTGTGCGCTCGATCGGCGAGCAACGTCGGTGGGACTCCGGAGGTGATGGAACGGGGACCCCTATTTCCAAGAATCGGAGATACGTCCTTGGACGTCTTCCGGCTCGGACGATATCACCCTCGCCCCCTGAACGTTCTAGAACGTTCGAAGATGTCGTGACGAGATCCGAATTCCAAGAATTGTTGAAGTCTCCCCCCTTGCGTGCGACGTTCCACGCAACAGAAACCCAAAGGTTGTCGTCAAAGACTGCCCCTCCGGAACGTTCGACCGCACGCTCGAACGTCGGAGAAACCCCGGGGGCGATGCAATGGGGATCTCTCGCCCTTGCAGCCGCGGAGCTCCTCCCCGTCGATTCCAGGAATGCCTGTAGCGTTCTGACGTCCGCGAGCGGATTCCAGACTGCAGCGTTCTGACGTCTGCGAGCCGATTCCAGACTGTAGCGTTCCGACGTCCGCGAGCCGATTTTAGAAATTTCGTCGGCACCTTTTGGAGTCCTTTCAGAACCTCTATCACACGAGCGTAAGAAAACATTTCTCAGCAGCCTCTTACCCCTTCCAGTAGAGATTCCAGGAAACCGCTACCCCTTCAGAGGTCTCTTCCTATATAAAGCGCGAATTGTAACGAGATTTTACGCATTAACCAAGCGATCTGTCGATCGATGAGAGATATTCGGAAAAAACGCGAGCTTAAAGTGCGACTCGACATGTTGCTAAAGCATGCGTTGCTGAATATAACGGAGGTGAAACAGTTAATTGATTCGAGATACGATCATGAACGTATTATAAAAAACCCGAAGAAACTTCGTCTACATGATGAATTTCTCAAATATCAACAAAATCGGGCGTCTGGAAGATGGTCGAGCTGGTGATTAACACGGATTATAAAATTAGCGGTATATGGCACGTTCAGACAAAATATGGAACGAGGTTCCTGGTAAACATCGACAAAAGCTTCTCGGTATTCCTGCCTGCAAGGATGGTGAAGGTGTTCAAGGACGACACCGAAATGTTTTCGAACATATGCATGTTATCGAAGAAAATCGCCTCATCATGCGATATCTAGGCGGACCACCCAATTGAATTTCAGTGTTTGGAGTGCGCTGTTAGAGTGTGAATCAAATAAATACATGCATGATTGATTATTTCATTGTCTGTCTTTATTTTCTGATAACCAAATCCTTAACAATTTAACATTTTCGGTCGAACAATAAAATGCGACGCGTTATGATTCAAACATCGAGAATTCGTATTATTTCGCAACTTTTGTAGCGATGGACAATTTAAATCCCCAAGATCAACGATGCAATCGGGATGTCCCACAAGTTTCTCTAACCACTTCTTCTTCTCCAATCCTTTGACGTAGATTCTGATGGCGTCTCGTAAGATAGATCGAAGATGATTTTTAACTCGTCTGTGCGGTATGTCGCCCGAGGTCCAGGGTATCCCGTGAAAATTGCGTTCCCGCCACAAGTTGATGCACTTATATTTGGCTGGGTGACACTCCCACGGGCAAGGTGGTCGAAACAGTAATGTTACGGGTTCGGTGAAATAGGTGTCGGTTCCAAGTAGAGATAGCCCCTTTAAAACGAACTTGTTCGACGATCTCTTGAATCCCTGAAGATCCACGACGAATTCCATTTCATTACTGCGCAAACGGGGGAACGATCGAAGCTTTTTATACAAATTTCTCCATCCCACCACTGATCGGGTTGTACTCGACGATACGATCGTGTAGGATTAAGCAGGATGTCGAAGTTTCGGCGGGAAAATTGTTTTCCGCCTCGAACTCGAGACGAATGTCGACCGGCCCGAACTTGAGGGACTCGTTTTGTTTAGAACAATCGATGACGATCAGCGGTGCATATTCCAAAAATTCGTTCTTCGTCAACAAAGGCTCGGGATCTTTACCGTAGTATGCAGCTTGAAAGTTTGCATACATCTCGTACAACAAAGCAAATTGAGTGCGACTAATGTTAAGATTAAGATTTCCATACAGGTAACATTGCGCATTCAAAAACAGTTTAACGTCTCCGACATTGCAATGATCGAAGTGACTCGCATGTTTATTTTTTTTACTCTTTCTACTCGTTTGGAATCGCAATGTAACGTATTGTGATTTTTCTAGCTGCGCCGACGTCTTGACCGTCCATACGTGTTTCGAAGTGGCGGGAAGAAGAGGATATTCGTATAACTCCCAGGTACGAAAACTCATGGAGATGGGCGCGTCCTTCTCGATGAATCGCAGCAGCTTAATCTTTCGGCGATCCAAAACTCTTATGTACGGTATCAACCTTTCTAACTTTAGAATTACAACTTTGCATTCTTCCGCAGCAGTCTGTACGATCGCATTGGTGTCGCTATTCGCCCTCGTTAAGATCAACCTCGTGTTTGGCCTTAACGACGATCTTCTGATAATCCTCGACAAATCTCAGAATCATATTCAGCGGTATCGATACGTCAAAGTAGCCGGCTGCATCAGTCAATTTCCCCTGCTCGTCGAGCCAACCGGCGTTGTCCATCAACGAGAGTTGATCGGGAGTTAAGGAAACGTAGCCGTTCACGAGACGCGTGAGACCGACGTTCTTGTTTCGATCGTTCTCTGTGGCGTTCATTTCGTAGCGAATTTCCTCGAGAGATGGCAAACGGCATTCTTGACCAGAGTCGTGCTCGCTGTCGCCGTAGTTCCATCTTCTTTGACCAGTTTACCATATACGCGTAGCGAACTTTTGCTCGGTAGTAAGCATAGGTCTTGGTGTTGTACGGAAATTCGAATCTCGTCACTGTTGTTGAACGTTGACGAAGCGTAAGGGTGGTGTGCATGAGTTTCACAGTGTGCTATAGACTCATCGAAGATTACGGGTATTTCAATGTTCAACGTTTCCTCCTCCATGTCGAACGATGCAGCAGCAGCAGAACCAACGTTTTACGGCCTTTTTGACGTGACCTTGAGTCTTGGACTTATCAGGAATAGCACGTTCTGACGTGTCAACGCTTTAAGAAGCGGACGATGACTGATGTCTTTTCGACATATCGGTCTACTATTATAGCTGTCGCCGATCTTTCTGCTGTAAACGATTCCCATCGTTAAAGGGATTTTACATGTAGCCTTATCGTTATGACCTCTCCTTGAAAATTCACCAAATCACCGTCTTGATCGACTATCCAAAGCTGTAGGTGGTCTATCGTTTTCGTTGCGATCGGTAGGTAGATGACGTGCGATGACACTTGTATGACTTCATATCCTGGCGGCACGATCGGGAAGAACTCATGTATGATGTACACCGTGCGATCGTTTATGTAGGCGCCCGTGGTAATGTTACATTCGACTCGCAGAGCGTTCACTTTGAGAATGGCTACAGGTACATCGGACGCGTGTAATTTATTGTAACGGGTCAATCGGCCAACAGACCCCACGGTACGGTAGGACATTAATTCGGCGCTATTCGAGTATGAGCAGTAATATTTGCAATAAGTAGGGAGACCCAGGGGGGGGGGGGGGCACGGACCGCGAGCGCGAAGCACCGCGGACGGAGCGCTCTCTTGAATCAGAACCTCGAAAGCGATTACATCGGGAAAAGTCAATCTCCCAAAGGGTAGGACTAAGTCGGAAACACGGGAGCGTGCGTAAAGTCAAGTTTCTTTTTCGAAATATCCGAAAACCGCGGAATAACCTCGTTGAGGAACTATGCGTCCCTCGGTAACCGAGCATCGCCGTCCTCGATTAGTACGGACGAAACTCTCAATAAGAACGAATGCGTTTCATTTGATTATTTTCAGGTCCTTGTTCCAGTGGGCCTGGCATAGCGACCACACCCACATCCCATTTTCTTAAAATCCTGTCTATTAAAATTCTACACTTGTATTCTCTCAATCGCACGTTGTGATTAACAGCAGAATTCCTAATCCTCAAAATCTTAACCCAGCCAATATCCGAGGCTGGATAACATAATTTAAGTGACACTAAAACCCGGAGGAATTAACTCCTCATGACACATAGATCCGTGGTCGATTTAGTCCGCGCAACCAATTGTTAGTACATTGTTCAATTAGGGCTGTTCAGCCATTCAAATAAGGTCACAATTTATCATACCAGTTGTTTATCAACAACATTACATTTTTATCATCCTAACGGCTAAGTTAGGATGATAAAAATGTAGGATTACAAGGTTAGGATTCAAACGCGATGGTAAGAACTCGACACGTGGGGAAGGGGAGCGCGGAGAGACGCTGTGAAGGTTGTTAATTCCGATTTGAATCCTACCCCATACCACCCAATCCGAATAACCTTTATGTCCCATGTTTCCATATTCCATGTGGATTCGATGATGAACGAATAGAACGCACCGATAATGGAATAAGTCGTTCGCACTGAGGATCATTTCGTTTCCTTTCCTATGCTTTCCGTATCAGAACTAGTGAGTCAGGGAAAACTCCGTTAATCCAATTAGGATTGCATCGACTTAAATTTGTTACGTGGCGGCCGAATGGCTAGCGAGGCCGGGGGAATTTTGTATATTCCTCAGAACGGTATACTGTTGTAGAGATATTAACTCGTACGCACACGTAACCAGCTTATTATTTGAGATATATGGAGAGAATAACCCGAGCGACTAGGTCAATCTCTTTGGTGGGATCGATAGGTTTTTTGGCCCTCAAAGGGTATTGGAATGTTGCAATGAGGACACAGGAGGGTTTTAAGGTTTCGTGAGAACCAAGTCGTTGTGTTGCATTGAATGAAGCAGTTTTATTCATAATATAAGGGGTACAATGCCCATGGGGGTAAGGTGTACAAATATGTGCTGCGCTAAGCAGATCGTCGCGAGTCGAGACAAGGACGTTGTAGGCCGCGCGCTTGCACCTCGCGGAAGTGTAATCGAGATACGTCCGCGTATCTGTTGCGGAATGCTGACGCGGAATTCTTTACTTGCAAGATGCGCTTTGCCTTACTCAGCAAGGGCGGCTAATAAGTTGCGATTCATATTTGAAGAGTTAGAATTTGATAGTTGTTACCGGGAGGTAGATACCGAATTCTACTGTGAGTTTGTAATTTGGAATAGGGTTCGAAATAGAGTGATAAAAGAGTAAAAGAGTGCAAGAATGGAGGAGTGGAACTCTTCGGAGAGGACCTGTACCATCGCTTCGCAGAGGCTTTTACTTCCGGTGACGTCTCTCCTACGTCCTGCCGGTTGCGATGAACTGCACGTGAACGCCTTCAAAAAGGGGCGTGCCCTAGGGTTGGAGCTTCCTAAGATTCTCCCGCTGGTCCGGAATTCGCAGCGCCGTCGTTCTTCTCACTGTTGGCTCGTGGATGTCGGAGTACCGAAACGCACAACTGTTACTACGGTACGGTCAGCTCTTCAGAGAGCTCCAGCCTCGTTCCTGAGACTGCTCTGTACGCTGTCTTAAACTCGTTTATACTACTGCCATACCGCTACTATATTACTGGCGCGGCTGCTTTTCGACACTGCTTTTATACGAGATCTTATCCTTGAGATGCCCGTGAGGATAGGGTCCGGTTCCTTTGTTTCTGGATTTTGTTGTTAGAAGTTTGATCGGAAGTGCTGAGGTAGTCACTAGGTTGGCGGAAGAGTAGGTCCGTGTTTTGTTCCAAAGTGCAGTTCGATGCGGAGTGCGTGCGCATAAGCCAAAACAATTCCTCGATGATTGTTTCACTCGTTGTAATGTTTTTCGGTTTAATTTGACGATACTGTCGTTGCTTTTGATTCGATATTTATTTTTCGGTAACTGACTCATACTTAGTAGAATGCGCGCCTCTCTATTTAGAGGAAAAATCGGGTAGCCTCGTAACAAATTAAAGGGGACGGAAATTCGAGCATTTTCCAAGAAGATTAAATCGCCAAATTCTACTCTAGACCGGAAGGCGCCGGGGCGCTTAGCGTTAGAAAAACTCGCTCGAACAGGTTCTCGCGGACAGGCCTCCCAAAATCCGAAATATTGACACGCTCAGCTGATCGCTCGTGAAACGCTTTCGTCGCTCTCTCGCCAGTCTCTTTTCTTTCCTATTTTTGAAATTTAATTAAATTCGGTCTCAGGAGTCGTGAGGCTCGAACCCTCAAAGGATGCAGTTTTTAGGTGCATAGGCACGGTAAAAACTGCACACCATTACAATAGACGTAAATTTTGCATCCCAAATCTGATCCATTTATTGTGCTCCGTAGATGAATATTGGTCCAGGAGACGATACGCCTCCTCCATAATTTTAATCAGCTTGATACACTGCCGTCCATTTTTTTCTATCTGGGGCTGTAATCACTCGGAGAGGATTGACTCGGAACTCTCGCGAGATTACACTCATAGGTCAATTTATAGGCACCCTCACTTAGGTAATTTGACACCGAAACTACAACGTAATCCGATACTTCTAAGAACCAGTCGCGAATCTCGGACACGGGTCTGATACTTGTGGAGCAAGTTTCAATATGTAATTGCGAGGCTGCTGAGAAGTGCTTCGTTACGCTCGTGCGGTTGAGGTCCTGAAAGGACTACAAAAGGTGCCGACGAAATTTCTGGAATCGGCTCGCGAACGTCGAAACGTTGCAGTCTGGAATCGGTTCGCGAACGCCGGATCGCTGCAGACATATTCCTGGAATCGACGGGGAGGAGCGCCGCGGCTGCAAGGGCGAGAGGTCCCCGTTGTATCGCCCCGAGGTCTCTCCGACGTTCGAGCACGCGGTCGAACGTTCCGGAGGGGCGGTCTTCGACGACGACCTTCGGGTCACCGTTGCGTGGAACGTCGCATGTAAGAGGGGAGACTTCGATTCTTAGAATTCGGGCGTCGTCGCGACATCCTCGAAAGTTCCAGAATGTTCCGGGGACGAGAGGGATATCGCCCGAGCCGGAAGACGTTCGAGGACGGATCTCCGATTCTTGGAAATAGGGGTCCCCGTTGCATCACCCCCGGAGTCCCTTCGACGTTGCTCGACGTTCGAGCGTGCGGTCGAACGTTCTAGAACGTTGTAGAACGTTCCAGACCCTTCGCTGTGGCCGAGGGGGGGGGATACGAAAACTCTACTCGTGGCATTTCGCGGGGTTCGCGCGCGCGCTAGCAATTTAGCAGGGACACGTACCCTCATCCGGTGGCGCCATCTGTGGACGCTAAGGCGAACTACCTAGAGCGTGGGGGAAATTCGCGGTATTCCACTCTAATTTCCAGAATTCCTGGCAAATTCTCGGAAATCGAGGGTCGACGACGGGTCTGATGACGTGATCTCCCGCTCGGCGACGGGCGGTTAGCATGGACGAGAACCGTCGAGGGCTCCCGAGGTGTCGGCAACATGTCGGTGCAGGAATCTGTGTCCAGAACCGCTACTGTTATACTACTTGAACCAACTTGCTTATTGAGTTCGCCATATTCAACTCAGAGAATGAGTCGAAATTACTCATTTTTTTATCCCGTTCAGAAGTAAAACAACGTAAACCTAAAAATTTATGAAAGAAAACAAATGCTGGTCTTTGTGAATGTCTTAAACTACATTTTGTTCTCCTTAGAAATAAGAAACCAATATAAAACTTTATAATTTTCTTTAGTATTTGTCAGTGTTATTTGGTCCCATTTTTCTCGCTCGAGTGCAGTCTGAACGATTTCTTGGGT